CTGTCTTATCTATTGCGATTGTAAACTCTCCAAAACAATCTTATTTTATTCTAGGTATAGGTAGCATCTAGCACAGGAAGTTCCCAGCCAGGGTTGAAACTTTTTGGTGCCAGAGGGCAGCCGACTGGCTGGAAAAACAAGACCTCTGGTTCAAGAACTGAGGTTTGGGCATTTGGTTGCATTTCACACAGGAACAAAACTGAGACCTTTTGCGATTTTTCACAGCAAAACTAGAGGTACCCACCCCAGACTTGCCAAAAGCCCAGGGATGAAGGATTTCACTTGGGACAAGCAGATTCAAATCAATGATTCAAAATGATTCAGAGCAGGGATTCAAATCTCAGCCTCACATGCCATAAGTACCCAATCTTTTGGTTGTCCTGGGAGCTCTCTTTTTGATTCTCCCAACACCAAGAAGTTCCATCCTGAGAATGATTCCTGACAAAATTTGATCTAAATTGATGTTTCCGCAAAGTTGCATTTTTGCCAACAACACATTTTCCATCAAAAAAACAAGTCTTATTGAAAAGAGGTGCCCCATCAGGTCCAATACTAACAAGAAGCCAGTGAAAAAGGCGACAAATTAACAACTGGCTGAGCCCTGGTTAAGTCCCTTTTCATAATGTCAAACTTAGGCTGAGCTATTTCTATGTCAGAAGTGAGTCATTTTGAGAAGTGTGGAGCTAGGGCAGGACTGGCGAGAGCCATCCATTCCAGTAGCATTCCTGGCACAGGATACTTCAAAGCATTCTCACAGCATCTTTTCAACAGCAGATATTATCAGATTTGTGCTGGAAACAGATGACATTCTTGAGGGCAAGCATTAAGGGGCTTGGTTTCATCATGGGTTGTGGATTTATCAGTAGAAGTCTAAACTAAGTCAGCCACGAGAGAACGATTCAGTAATTGCAAAGAGAACATTCAGCTACAGGAAGGCCGGCGAATAGCAGAATTGGTTTTGTGTCTTTCAGACATTCAAAGGGACTCACCGAATCTTGATTCACTGAAAACAGAATACCTAGCTGCTGTACATATAGTTTAATGATGTTTTAGGAGTGCAGAACCTCTACAATCCCACTGCAATTGCTGGGTACCCCTCAACCTTCTGGAGGCACTGAGCACCTCACAGGATGAGGCCCCTAGAGAAAACCAAATAAGAAAAGATTACCTTTATATGGAATGATCAATAAGTTATTTCCTGGTTTGGAAAGTAATCCCAGACCTCTGCTGGGAAAAGCTGTCTGCATTGAGTATATGAGTATATAACATATGAGTATATGTTCACTCTTACTTGTATATGCAATGATGTTAAGATCAAGAGAAGAACAAATGTTGTGGGAAAATAACATGAATTCCCTTTTCCCCTCACTAATTGAATCTTTTAATCATTTTATTTAGCCCACAACTTGCCTTTGGCT